CTTTCCCACCTGTATGGCGAGATCCGGCCCCGACCTATCGTCGGCTAGCGGGGGTTTCCCAACCAAGTACCTCCCTCCAGCGGGGCACCACCCCAGCCGGGACAAGCTCTTAGCTCCTGGCATGGATAGCTGGGATCTTCCAGCATGCGTAGTGAGTGCTAGTGTGTGTGTAAGGGGTGAGGATAGGACAAATAAAAGGAAAGTGAAATCGCACCCAGTCCGTGGCCCTTTTGTTAGGTACTGCTCCGGCATTTGCCTGGTGTTTATCGGAGAAACCACGAAAAAGGATCAGAGCAGTGGGCCTGTAGAATTCTCCTCCAGACAGCGACTGAAGTCGTTCTAGCTAATAAGCTAGTATCTAAAACCCTGCTGCCGTCGGGACTCGCACCCTTGTACCTCTCAGTCAAAGGGATTGCAGTGAAATCAGTTGATGCTCTGAGCCATCTCTCCCGGTACGATCTTTTGGAATGTCACTACACTACGCGCTCGAGGTATATCCCACAGTTGTACCTTACACCTCTGTGAACACATCAGCACAGGTACCGCATCCTGAGCAGCGTAAATACACCTATAAGTTATGTCATAATACGTATATATTGTTTAGTATTACGAAACAGCACTCAGGAAATTGCGGAATAAAATGTAGCATGCCGATCCACCCAAACACGTGGACACTTAGGCACGAGTGCCCAAGTGTATACGTGAGGTCACGCAGGGAGTTCTCTGAAAAGTGAGAACTGCATAAGAGCGGATCCCGCACTGAGACTGTTTGGCGCCTGTCTGCGGCACGTGGCCTTTAGTCACCCGCCAGGTAGCAAGTATACAAGCAAAGGAGCCCAACAAGAGACGGGTCACAATTAGTTGTAAGCTGTAATCAGATCTTTCTGTTTCTGTTTTTGGAATAAACAGTGGTCAACTGAAGTTGGTGTTTCACAGTCTCTCTACCCCGAGTCTGTTGTAGCAACACAGTGCGAAATTGGATCGCGCTCCGTTTTCTCACATCAACAGATAACGACCAACAAAACCGAGAAGGGAACGAAAGGCAAAGAGGATAAGGGAAATTGTCTTTTATTAGCGCCACCCCGGTCAGAGTGTAAGTGCGGGAACTTGCGGCAGGGAAGACTGCGTGGACTAATTCCTTAATCTTCCGCCAGAGGTGGGATTATTCCTGACAAAGAAGAGTGTTGGAAGGCAGAGGGGGCTTCACAGCCGATTCATTAGCACGTGATCGGACAACCTATGGGAATAGTTACACAGCTCCTCAGATCGGAGGCGACTAGGGAAACGTTCCCAGAACGAAGGCTTAGGACATAAATGGATGTCACTGCAGTGCCCCTGACCCGGAAGTTTTAGGGTTCAAGTCCCGACGGTGAGGCCAAGATTGTTGACACTAGCTGGTGAGTTGGGTTGAATGCAGCCGTTGTTTGGAGGAGAATTCTGTCGACCTGCTACTCTGATCGATAGTTTTCGGACGTTTCTCCGATCAACAACAGGCGAATGCCGGAAAATCCCCCTTCAAATGGGTCACGGACAGCACTGGATCTCTCCTTTCACTTCTTTGTTCTATCCTCGCCCTTTTTTTACACACACTTACACTATTACATATATATCTGGATAGTACAGCGTGTCTCGCCTGGGGCTGGCCCGTGCTGTTAGGAGATACTTGATTGTGAAAAAACCGCAAACTGAAGGATAGGTTGGCGCCGAATATTGCCAGGCCGGAAGCCGACGAATATTGTCAGCCAGCGGGGATGATCGCTTTTTTACTAAGTTTATTAGCGCGAGTTCGAAACTAATGTCTAAAAAAAATTGTGAGTAGTAAATTCTGAAACCAATTGAATACATTTGTGACGTAACCATACCACTGTGCTGTATTATATATCTTTCTTGATTTTCTGTAATTCTTTGATTGATTGATAATTTTTATTTTCGGACATCTCTAATGCTATGGTCATTAGTCCCTTAAATGTGTTTTGTCACGGAAGGTATGTGTGTACTTCCCCCTCTGGAAGGCTACTAAAACGTTGGCATACGAGTTTTTTCTCATCCAGAAATATCCCCCAGTGGGATATCTCTCCAAGCTCTAAGCTCCAGACTGCTCCAGACTCCTAATCCAGAAATATCCCCCAGCGGGGTTCCTCTCCAAGCTCTAAGCTATAAGCTTCAGACTGCTCCAGACTCCTAATCCAGAAATATCCCCCAGCGGGGTACCTCTCCAAGCCCTAAGCTCTAAGCTCTCGATTGCAACCCCTGAAATGTGTAGTGCGTGGTTGCACGGGTTGTGGGGTACATACAATAGTTGAGCGCGCGATGTCCTCGTTCAACGAAATCGCACAACCAACTCACCTGCGTGTCGACGAATCTGCGCGTGAGCACAATGAGCACCTTCCTGCTGGCGCTGACGGCCTCGAGCACGTCGCCAGAGAGCGTGGCCGCCGCCTTGAAGTCGCGCTCGTACAGGCACACCCTGTAGCAGTCCGGCGCGCTCTCCAGCACCTTCACCAGATGCCGCATCGCGAAGTCACGTTCGTGTTCACTGCCAGCAGAGACGAGGGTTGTTGGACAAGGATCAACACAGGGTCTCCCGTACAGTCGGATCAGATCAGCTTCGACGGGATAAATAAGCGTTTTTCTTAAAGCAGATGTTTATTACATCTATTTATTCAAGCCGCGCTTTTTACCATCGAGATTTGTGTTGAATGTGTTAACGTGATTGATATTTTATTTTTGACCTTGAAATATGGCATATTTGACAAAGAGGGTGTCAATATTTTCACATATGAAATTCAAAACAAATTGAAGAAGCTTGAAGCGAATGAAATTCTGCATACGGTATTCAGTTTTTTCCTAACTGGTAGGTTACTTACAGAAAGGAGTTCCCTTTACAAGGGAAAAAGTTGAGAAAGTTTTGTATTTGGAAACCATAAATTGCAAATATTGGAGACTATAATAATTATAAATAAAGAAATAAGTTACTTGGGGTTTTGAAGAGTCCATTATCTTAGTTTCTTATTTTAGTTTCCTTATTTTCGTCAAAATTTTTCCTGTTAGTTTGATCCTGTTAAGTTTGTCTTGATTATAAATTAAATTTCAATGAAAGTATTAGTAAGTACGGAGTCTGAAAAATTAGTTCGCCCCCATCTTCAGGAAATTGAATGTTAGAGGTTACCAAATCAATTTAAAAAAATTTTGGGGGGATGTATTGTTAACAACATCTTAATTATAAAGATTTAGAATATATTTGGGAACATAGATGATTTTCAAGCGATAATTTATTAACACCGATGTTTTGATTTTAAACATCGATGTTTCAAACATCAGTGATCTGGGGTGACGCAATACTGAAATCTTACTTTTTTTTAAAAAAGGGTGATGCATTATTAATATCGAGTTTTAATTTAAATGCTTTAATTTAAGCATCCATTGTTTTCGGGTGACACATCAAAACATTAATATCTACAGTAGCGCTCAAAGAAACCGCATCACCTAAAGAAAATGGGCATTCTGCCTTTTTTTAATTCAATATTCTCTCAAAAATTGGTAATCATATATTTTATGTGGATTATATGATGTTTCAGACTCCATGACCTTCATAACTCTTTTTTTTTTTTTTTGCTCGCGAATCGGCCGATTAGGACCACGCATGCAAGCATCCTGCATTTACCGTGGCTAAGTTTTTTTTTTATTATCGCGGTGGCAGGTGCATGTAACTTTTTATGGGGACCAGCATTTAGCTGAATCCGATTTTTATCCCCCACGGTTGTTAGCCCTGGGGACATGGAAGATGAAATGATGATATGATGATAATGGGGGGGGGGTGAAAGGACGACACATACAGACATACACAAATACACCCATGCCCGAGGCGAAACTCGAATCCGCGATCTTCTGTCCCGAAACTACTACGGCAATACTGCCGTAGCGATCTCGTCCATCTGATCGGCTCTCATAACTCTTTATGATTTTTGCAAATCAATTGGTGCATTTCCACGATTGTTTTGTAGATTCCAACCACGTTTTTTGCCCGGACCAAACAACAGCACCGACTACACCTCATAATGATAGACAAGAAAATAAAAGCGTTTTCCCATTAGAATATAATATAATTGAATTGAATTAATGTCTTGTTTTTCGAGGCGAGACTCGGGCAATTAGGCCCGCTCTTCCGTCTGACCACGCAAATTTCCCTACGCTCCGTTCACCAACTTGCGGATAAAGGAGGTATTTCTTGGGCGAGAAACAGGCGATTTGAATTTAGCGCAGAAGCGTCATTTAGGCTTGATGATCTTTTACATGTAAATCTACTAACATGGGACAGCCAGCTTTACTTCCCCACGCGCACCTGTGCTCGACCACGCGCTCAGAGGAGCGAACCAATAGGGGAGTGACAGAGTGGGTGAGGGAATGATTGGATTAGTTAATGAATGAGGAAATAAGTGGTGAGAGAATGAGTGGGAGAGAGGATGATTGGATCAGAGAACGATTGGGTGAGTGAATGAATGGGTGAGTGATTGAATGAGTGAGTGATTGAATGAGTGAGAATGAAAGGGCGAGTGATGAGTGTGAGTGAATAAGTGGGTGCGTGATTGAATTGGTGAATAAATGGGTGAAAGAATGAATGGTGAGTGGATGAGTGAATAAGTGGGTGAGTGAAGAAATGGGTGAATGAATAGGTGACTGAATAGGTGAATGGGTGAGAGAATGAATGACGAGAGGATGAGTGGGGAGTGAATAAGTGGTTGAGCAAGGTGACGCGTTTGGTTTGGAGCGTTGTGGCGCCTGGACTCACCTGTAGCAGAGGAAGACGTCGAAGGCGAAGCGGCGGCCGTGGCGCGCGGCGTGGCGCAGCGTGGAGCGCACGGCGGCGGCGCGCGCCAGGTACGAGAGCTGCGGCCGGAAGCGCGTCACGGCGACCGCCACGAGCAGCGCGGCGGCCACCAGCGCGACGGCCGCTCCAGCCACAGGCGCTGCGGCCAGCCCGCGCACGTGCCGTCCTCGGCCGGCGTCGCCGCGGCCACCGGGAAGCCGCGCAGCGCCGGCGGCGCGCCGCACCGCACGGGCCCGCGCGCGCCCGACAGACGCACCTGCATTCCATTGAATTACGGAATTAATGCATTGTTTTACGAGGCGAGACTCGGGCCAGTAGGCCCGCTCTTCCGGGCTGAAGGAACCGCTGGCAAGCGGGATGAGGTCGGGGACCGGAATAGGAACGCTAAGGGGGCGGGGGCGGGCTCGTGGTGCGACTTGCTTCCCGACTCTATTCCGCAGCGCCATGAGGCTGCTGCTGCGTTGCAGGCGTTGCAACCTTTCACGTTTTCTACCCGAACCACAAAACAGCACTGACTACGCCTCATAATGATTGACAAGAATATAAAAGCCTTTTTCCATTAGAATTGAATTGACTTGAATTGAATTAATGCCTTGTTTTTCGTGGCGAGACTCGGGCCATTAGGCCCGCTCTTCCGGGGTGAAGGAACCGCTGGGAAGCGGGTGAATATCTCGCGCGAGTCGAGGTCGGGGACCGGAATAGGAACGCTAAGGGGGCGAGGGCGGGCTCGTGGTGCGACTTGCTTCTCGCAGCGCCATAAGGCTGCTGCTGCGTTGCAGGCGTTGCAACCTTTCACGTTCTCTGCCCGGACCAAAAAACAGCACCGAGTACGCCTCATAACGATAGACAAGAATATAAAAGCGTTTTTCCATTAGAATATAATTGAATTGAATTAAATTAATGCCTTGTTTTACTTGGCGAGACTCGGGCCATTACACCCGCTCTTCCGTCTGACCACGCAAATTTTGCTACGCTCCTTTCACCAACTAGCGGATAATGGAGGTATTTCTTGGGTGAGAATTGATTGAATTGGGAGATTAGAATTTAGCTTAGAAGCGTCATTTAGGCTTGAGGATCTTTTACATGCAAGTAAATCTACTAACATGGGACAGCCGGCTTTACTTCCCCCTCGTAGGAAGGCATACGAAGGATTTTTTCGCCCTTAAAAATCCACGGCTTCGATCGGGTTTGAACTTGGGTGTAACGGTCCAATACGCCACCGTTACACGCGCACCTGCGCACGGCCACGCGCTCAGAGGAGGAGCGAACCAATGGGGGAGTGACAGAGTGTGTGAGGGGATGATTGGATTAGTGAATGAATGAGGAAATAGGTAGTGAGAGGATGATTGGGTCAGAGAACGATTGGGTGTGTGAATGAATGGGTGAGTGATTGAATGAGTGAGAATGAATGGGCGAGTGATGAGTGTGAGTGAATAAGTGGGTGCGTGATTGAATTGGTGAATAAATGGGTGAAAGAATGAATGGTGAGTGGATGAGTGAATACTTTGGTGAGTGAAGAAATGGGTGAATAACTAGGTGACTAAATAGGTGAATGGGTGAGAGAATGAATGATGAGAGGATGAGTGGGGGAGTGAATAAGTGGTTGAGTAATTGAATAACTAAGTTCAGGAATTGGCGAGAGAATGAATTGGTGAGTGAGTGAATGGTTTAGTGAAGAGTGGGTGAGTGAATGAGTAGGTCAGTTAATGAACGGCAGAGTGATGAGTGAGTGAGTAGGGAACTGATTGAATAGGTGTCATTGGTAGGCTGGGTAGGTAAGTGGGTGAACAAATGAGTAAGTTGATTAGTGACTGAGAGTGTAGATGAGTAAGTGGATAGTTGGCTGAATGGGTGAGAGAATGAACAGGAGAGCGTTTCAATTGGTGAGTGATAAGCAGGACGAAATTTCATTTTGCTGGTCATTTGCCCTACAGACCCTTTCCCCAAAATTGTGATTGTTTGACATCTTTTAACTGGTAATTGAAATAGAAAATCATATCAGATTAAACAACAACTATATAGATCAATGCATGCTTCTCATAAAATCATACTATTCATAAAATGAAACCATTCTATACCGCAAGATTTATACAGACAAAAAGCAGATGTAGTGTATTGTAACTATTACAAACTCTAACATTCAATATTTAGCATCATTAAAATAAATATTGCAATAAATAGTAAATAAAATACAATAATGATATATCTAGGTCTGATTACAACCCAGTCAAAATGCGCTCAAATTTTGCAAGCACGCACATTATATCCGATGGTATTTACTTTGTTTACACTGACAAAAATTTCTGCATTACTTTAATGCAAATTTTATTGAAATAATTATCAAGAAGGTTCATTAAATTTAATGTACACATGTACATTACGATTCCAGAGTCGACGTTTTAATGAAATGAATAAATGAATTATCAATTTTGATGGACAGGGGATTATGAATATATGATATGACGATGAGGCATATTGAGAAAGGAGAACCGGGAGGACCTTAACATTAAATCTATATTTACTTTAATATAAGGATTAAATTGAATGTACTACTGTATTAAGTTATTTTTAACGTACAAGGTACATGTTTCAAAAGCATTCCTTACCTTCGTCTTTGTGGTAGTCAGCCACTTCTGCAAGTCAGGCGTTTGACAGTCGAGACAATCCAGCTCATTGCCTCCAATATCGACTTTAAAGAGGTCGTCTAACGACTTCAACATCTTTGGAGAGAAAGCCGTGATACGGTTTAAGGAAAGATTTACATTGGGAACCCACGGCCAATGCACTAAAACTGTAGAATTCGGTTTACGTGTAATATTTCTTAACGAGCGTCGCAAAGAAGCAAATACATTAGAATCGCTCCATTGCTCAATTACGTTTTTAGATAGATCTAGGTTGTCTACGGTTATTCCTTGTTTACCGAGGTTCACAATGTCATTAAGTAAATTGTTAGACATGTGAACATGCAAAAAGTGAATCTTTGGTAAAGTGGGCCAAGTCTTGAGCTTGTTATCATTGAGAACAATAACTTTGAGGTGGAGAAGTTGATGGAGTGTGGATTCAGGTATTGTCTCTATATTGTTTCCGCTTAGATCAAGGTGTTCTAAAGATGGCAGTACCAAAGGAGATGAGTGAACAGAAGCAAGCCCGCACTTCGAAATTGTAAGAGTTCTCAGTGCTGGTAGAATTGGCAGCTGTTCATGCCAATCCATGATTCGACTTCTGGAGAGAGTTAAATTATCCAGGAGAAGCAAGCCTTCCAGCGTCGTTGGGGTGAAACGAAAGGCTTCGAAATTCGACTCGATGAGAAGGGTTCTCAGATTTTTTAATCGATGGACACAATCTGGTATATCTTGAAGATTTCCACTAAGGAGAAGATGCTCGATTGCGAGAGAATTGTTGAAACATCCTGAAACAAAATAAGACGAGTGGTAACTTTTATGTTAGTTGTGGTATTAATAAAGTCATAATATGTTGTTTCAAGGATTGGGATCATTACTTATTTTTACCTTCGATACAGATCTCGATATACACCGCATAACTTTTCTAAATCAAGAGAATCATGGTGACGAGGAAAATATGAAAACAGATGAATGATGCTACATGTTCTAGGATGTGGAGGTAATTGTGAGAGGGAGTTATGAAAGGAAATTATGAAAAGTCAAACCTAGCCATGTTAAGATCTAGTGAATTAGAAAATGAGTAAACATGAATCATTAAAATCGGATAAAAAATAAAATATTGCGAGTATCACGAGCGTTAACTAGATTTAATGAACGTTTGTGACAAAAAGGTGACAAAAAGCCTAAGGGCTTTTATCTCTGGTGTTCTTTGTCACCACTCAATCATTAGAATAATAGTAAGGCCCTTGGTGCATAAATAAATATTTGTTTATTAAATAAGTCACTTTATAGATATTACGCTAACAAATTAAAACTGGCATAACCGTGCAACATGTCAGCTCCTCTTTAACCAATATTCTCACCGTCATGGAAAGATAGAAACGAAATTTGTAACCCTTTCATAACATTGCATACCAGCCCTGAGGAAGACCACGACAAGATGGTCGAAACGTCGGCAACACAGCCTTTGACGCGGCGTCACCCGGACAGCCCAGATCACGCACATGACTCTGGTCGCGGAAGCCTACGACTTCCTTTCATAATACTGTAGTTATATCAAACTACCGCAACCAGATAGAGAGACGAAACGCCAATCTTAACGGTCGGCGTCCAGTAAGAAAGTTAACACCGCTGAACGTTAAGAACCATAGAAATAAATTAGTTGTAGAAATATAAGGCAGATAAGGGCCTCTACTTAAAAGAACAGAAAGAAGAAGACTATATTTTTTAACTATGTTATATTTTTACTATAAGAAAGTTATATTTCAGAAAGGACTGAACGACACATAGCCGATATAAATAACGGACCCGGCAGACCTCTGCAAATTCCTGAGTTAACACCAACCGCACCAGTTATTTTTTTCATATCGGCCAATGGACGTTAATAGCTATAGTTATGCGTCGCTATAATACTTTATACTCTCGTTCATGGCACAATTGCTCTGCCCTGATCTGACATTTATTTCCTCACTTCAGTGGTGACTCAGTTTATTTTAGATTATGAGGAATAGGAGACAATAATCGACCCTTCACCCAGGTCTTGTGATGGGAGTAGAAACAGGATGAGTAAGAAATAATCGCACGCTGTCTGTAGCCCATTTTTAAGCCAGTACTACTCCACAATTACTCTGGAATTGATAATAAAAATCCACGGAAGCACAATTCAGATCAGCCGATTTCTAGAATTATCATTAAGTCAGTGGTAGGTTGCGAATCAGAGCTGGCTACTCATCTGGAGCCAAAAACTCATCATTGTCGTTACTCGAAGCTGGCACCATCCGAACTACGTATGAAATTGGAACCTACACACATTAACACACCCGATAAATTACTCTTTGCTCAGAAGAAATGCGATGTAGTCTCAAGTATAGGATGAATAAAAAGTGCCTTCAGACCTCTGAAAAGGGGCGTTGTCAGGGTATGATAGTGCTGCAGTGCAATTTTTATAGCTGCCTCTCAAGGCCCGTCTTCAAGATGGAATATGACACAGCATTTCGCGTCTTTCGTGACCGTAACAGACAGTGCTTGCGACCATGCGACATCTAGCGGCACGATCGAGAAAGACGCGAAATGTCGTGAGATATTCCAATGTGAAGACGGGTCTTGAGAGACAGCTGCATAAAAATCGCACTATAAGGAGAAAGATGAGCCCCACGATGACAACCTGAGTTTAGCTCATCGCCGTTATCTCTGCAGCGATTCTCACCAGTAGGTCCTAGATTTCGAGTCCCGACGTTGGCGGATTTTCGATAATATCTCGATACTTATATCGAATTCAGCCACTGTCTAGCGGCCGGCTGCTCTGATAGGTACTTTTCATTGGTTTCTTCGACCAATCGTAGGGGAATACCGGAGCAGTAACCAAACAAACGGGCAAGGGACCGAGCGCGATATTACCTTCCTCTTCCTTGTCCTCTCCTCACCCCTTACTTACACTTTCACTTAACCTTGCAAACGCTACTCATGTAGGGTGACCAGTCAGGAGTTTAGATCTTGTCCTAGAAGAGAGGTGACCCGTTAAGAGAGATACCTGGAGGAGGAAAATCTCAATCAAGTCCACGTGTACAGTAACACCAGTCAGTGGGAGAGGAACACCGCCACTTCTTGGGATAAAACATTTCACTACCTTACCTGAACTAATGACTTTGTAGTTGTCTACTAATGTAATATCAAAATCCCTGTGCCAAGAGTACGACAATTGCAAAAATTGTCCTTAAGTATTGCAATTCTTTAGCATTAAAATAACCAATTTAAATATATTGCTATACTTGTCCGTCTATACTTGGCGCGACAGCCCGCAAACGGTCAGAGCCTAACAGCGTCTCGCTTTCGCGGCCATGGGTCAAGTGGGTACGTCGGTTAGCACGAAGACATCTCCACGCTGTGTTCTAGTCTTCTCAACCTGACAAGTGTGATTTCACATCGTCACACATCAACATAGTATACTGGGACATTGCAAGGAAAACGCACACTGTAATATTGCCCGATCAGGAATCGAACCCGGGGTCGCGTCATGGAAAGCGAGCACGATGATCTATATTGTTAGCAGCCTCGAAAATATGTAAGATTAATAGTTTGTTATTTCGTTTATTATTATTATTATTATTATTATTATTATTATTATTATTATTATTATTATTATTATTTCTTATTAAACATTATACTATTTACAATTTCGCTATGAACTACTACTGTTGCAGTTCGCAGTTACATCGCCTTATTAAGGTTACACAACGACCTAAAATAAATTTAAAAAAATAATAAAATCGGAATATTGCTTATCTTATTTTTTCACTAAAAAATTCGAATCTACGATAACGGACACTCCTGAGCCTCGTGTGATCAACCGACGCGGTGTAGCCTTTGTTGGGAAGGAAAAAAGAAACTCATTGTGTCCCTTGGCGAGTTCAAATGTACTGAAGTGAGGTGAGCGCAGTTTATCCATTTCAAAACCTCCTTACTACAACAGCGTTTTTTTAGACCTTTGTACCACCGTTTGCAGGCCAGCGAACCGTTTCGAGATACAGTTATCAACCACACCAATTGGGTTGTTGACATTGTCGACTCGACATTTCGGTCATGCGCACTCAAACAGACCCCAATCATCTGTCAACACCCATTAAGGGTGGTTTCTGGAATTTTCCCAGAAGAAGCTGTAAGGAATGACAGAACATTCTTAACACGGTGGTGTCAAACATTGGAAAATATGTTTCTTGACTTTGCTCAGTTTTTCATGAATTTTTGTTCATTTTCATGAAAGTTTGAAGATGATATTTTTAATGAACACTAATTTTTCCTTACTATGTTGAAATTATTACAAATAAATGTGTAATATTTCTGCCTGGGATGGTAGTGATTTAAATGTGTTTTGAATCGGTTGACATTTAACATCCAAACAATTAGACAAAACATGTCACGTAAGTGTACCTACGACCACGTTAAAATTAACAAGAAATTACTAAATGCATTGTTTTTAATAATTACGTACTGTAGTAATTGTAGACAGTAACTAAAAACCGTTCTAAATGCCAAAAATGTAGTTCCAAGATAAATACGAAAAGCTGCTTAAAAGCTCGCGGGACTTGACTGATTCACAGTATACTGGCGACAATTTGAACTCCTAAGAATAAGATTTTCAGATATCCCACTTTACATTGCATTGCGCTTGACACATCACGATTTTCAGCACAAAATGCAAATTGTCACATTTTGGCACTTAGCCTGGGTTTCATATACGCTCTATAATTATAAATGTAAGTAATATATGATACATTTGTATCAATTTGACAAATTATACAAAGAAAACATACTTTAGTACAAAAACAAGAACTAATAAACATTTTTGTCAATTGCCAGTAATATGTTTGAATGATTACTTTTCCTTATTATGTTGTTTTGTGTTATGCTTTATTACAACATTCAGTCATTTGTTGTTTATAGCAATAGTATGAAATAAATTAGTGTAAGTTAACAATTATCTCTTAAGGACGGACAGCTATTTTAAGAGATGAATCTTTGTCTGTTAAATTTTATAACCTCAACTAAGGACGTTAATTCTTGCTCTTTTAAGAAAACACGATTATATACTTTCGTTTTAAAATGTTTAATTTTATTCTCAATTGATAATTTGACATCAACATCAAGCGTTTCACGTCAACTTAACCCTTCGGTTATCAGCTTCTTGCGCTGAGTTGATACCGCTCCCTTATTAAACCGTAGTGCCCTTGTCTCTATCTTGTCAGTAACTCCACAGTAACTCATAAGCTCATTGCAGCAGAGCACTTTCTCCGAGCCCCTTGTGACTCATGGGATCGTGGAAGCGCATGAACACTGTGTCAGGTAAGAGGGTTTGGTGGCGGCCGGGCAGCGCAAACTTTGCGGCTCTTAATCGAATTATGGAGCTTTTCTTCCCCGGGCATGAAGGCAGGCACATTCAACCACCACATTCTTACAACATTCACGCCGTAAGAAGACTGGGAAGAAGTGAGGTATTGAAGGTAATACAGGAAGTTGGATCTACGACCTTCTTCAGGGCGTAATGCGTAATGAGGCAGGTCGCAGAATGGTGACTAGAACGTCGAAATCTTTGCTATGGACGCGGCGTCACCCAGACAGCCAATTAAATATCGATGGCTTGAGCCTCACCACATAAAACGAGGCATTAACTAACTAAATAATCACCCCATGACTAAACGTACCTTGCAGGAGGTGGTGGATGTTGAGGTGCATGATATTCAGTCGCCACGTCCATTGCAAAGATGCCGAGGTTTCGGTCGCCATTCTACGACCTTCTTCAGGGCGTAATGCCCAGGGAGGAAGGTCGCAAAATGGCGACCGGAACGTCGGCACCTTTGCTATGGACGCGGTGTCACCCGGACAGCCAATTAAATATCGATGGCTTGAGCCTCACCACATAAAACGAGGCATTAACTAACTAAATAATCACCCAATGGCTGAAAGTACCTTGCAGGAGGTGGTGGACGTTGAAGTGCGTGATCTCCAGGTGGCGGAGGCGCGGCAGCTGGTCGAGGCGCGGCTGGGGGCCGTCTTCTGGGGAGGGGGTGGAGTTGCCGCCTCGCACCACCAGCTCGCGCAGCCCACTGCCCGACAGACCGTTCAGCACCTGCGCAAGCAATGCACGTATTCCGCATGTGAAAACGGAACACTTTACAACTCACTTCTCCTACTGTAATACTGCTCTCCTACTAGAACACCCTAACAGGAACGCTTTAACTATATCCTCCTTACTTAAACACAATAAAATTTTACTCTTTACTTTCTGGCTTTACCTCATAAGAATACATTGTAATTGTGCATCGAAAATCGGCGATTATTCTCCAGAAAAACTCTTAATGTCGGGCCCTGGTAACGGAAAATTGGATAACTATTGTTTTGTATGTAGTAAATTACTTCCACTAACAGGTTATACTGACAGAACTCACGTTTTGTGGGACCCTGACATATTCAAAAATTGCAAACGTTCAATATTTTTTCGAGACTTCCTACAAATGCAGTATTAAAGGTAGATATTTTCTCTACAATAAAATATGTTGTTCAAAGACATGTTGAAATTAGACATGTACAGTTTTCCGAAGACATGAATAGTTTTCGCGTATTGTTGCGTGCAATATTCGCAATATTTAAACAAATATTTTCTAAATAAGTTTTCATTTTTTTGGATTACGTATTTTCCATTGATAGTGCCAAAAACACTTACATGTAACGCAGGTCTCATTTTCATTCAACTCCCTGAATTTTGAAATGTAAAAAGTAATTCGCGAATGTATGTGTGGTTATAGCATAACTAGTTTCTTTATATCGCGTGTGTTAACATACCATTAAATTTCCTGCAATTGATATATTATTAAGAAATAATTAAGGATCGGCGAAAAGTAAATTTCTACGTATTAAGTTCTAAATAACTATATATTGATAATAAGTTTTAAGTATTCAATTCTAAGTTGTTTTAATTCATTCAAAATGTTTTCGTTTTAGTGAACGGGCATATGGGCGCCTTTTTTAGCTTATGATTACTCATAAAATAGTTGAATTCCCACATCAAAAAGTGAGGACACACGACTGTCGGATGACTAAAAGTAGACGGGGGTGCCAAAAGTGTTTCTACTGATTGCTATATCGCCACACCTAGAGCCGTTGCTTCCAGATATGGGTTGCGAGGTAAAACAACAACTATAATTCAGATGGAGAAATTATTTTTTATTACGTATGCATTGTAACGTATTATTTTGCATAATGGAGCAGACATAAAAGTGGGTTCATATCAAACCTGTTCAAATGTATCAAAAAATAACGACAAATTATGTTATGGTTGCCTGCATTGTCAATGCCGTACAAAATGCATAAGCGTTAACAGACAATGAAATTCGTCCGGAATGCCCTAGGGCGGATCAAAGACTAACGTACTCTAACATGAGACAAAACACGTATGACGCAGTCTGTTGTTTGGAGGCGCTTACCCTGGGGTCGATGGCCAGTCCTTCACCGGTCACACTTAGTGTTTCCACCCACTCCGTGCCGGCCTGCAGCAGAGGCAAGGAGAAGTCCCAGAAGAAACGGGAGTTGGGCGTGTACACCATCGGGGGCATGGACATCACGTCCGAGCGGAGGAGCACTCGATGATGACAATTTAGTTCTCTGCAAGCAATGGGCCGAATACTTTTAATATTTTATAATCAATATTTCACCATCCATCAAACTCTAATTGCACTTGTTTATAAAAGTTATTTTTGCAGAGTATCTAAACTATTGTATCATTGCGAAACTGTGTATATCCATTTTACTTTTTTTGCAAATTTTAAAGCCTACAGACATTGCTCGATTCCCAAATGAGACTTTTTTTTGGTAAGAGCAGCCATCGTAATTCCATAAAATGGTCAGAGAATACTTGAGTTTTCGCTTGCGCCCTTATTGGTCATTTTTCATAATGAAACTTCAACAACCGTTCCCAATATTGAGCAATTCCCACCTCGGCCGTAACTTGATGCAGCCTTCCGTGATACTATACGCTCTCCCTGTCTACCGTGTGAAAGAGACTACATCAGGCTTTGTACTACATACTTTTCCACAAGTTTAGAATGTGAGCCCATTGCGCTTAGTCCTGTCTAAGGAACTAGGTTGAACTTAGCTGACTTTGCAGGTCGTAGATCTTTACGCCACGTGTTTAGTCATAACCTCCACTCCCGACAGGTCACGTGCGCTCTAGTAACTCCATTGGTTGCATGTTCCAAAGCCGCGCAATGAAAGCGAACGCTTCCTCGGTCGGAGTCAATATTTACTTGGTTGTTTGTGGGGTTGGCAAAAGGGTTGTGGCAAAACTAGGACAACTCTTTTGCAAGTATACACTTGGGTGTCCGGGAAACGCCACGTAGGCACAGACGCCAACGTTTCGACCGTCAGGCTGAGACCTGGCGAAACCCATCTCCGCGCTTTTCACCCTGAGGAAGGTGGCAGCATGACGGCCGAAACGTTGGCATCTGTGCCTACGACGCGGCGTCTCCCGAACACCCAAGTAGATACTTCCGAAAGGGTTGTCCTAGTTTTGCCACGTAGTTCACTAGAACTCCAGGCTCGGTCCCCTCCTAAGTTCATGAACTGCCCCTCTGGCAGCTCGTGAGCAGAGCCCGACTCTTTACACGTCATGAAGATGTGAGTTCGCGCTTTTCCTTCATCAAGTGATTTCCCTCGCGTTCTAGTTTGTAACGTCATTCCACCAATATAGTGCAAATAATCAATCAAGTCCGCTATTTGTGATTTGAGCCGCGTGTCGTTCAAAATTAATTCATCCAAAAAGAACGAAATAAAATATTAATTTTATTTTTCTGATGGCGAAAAAAATGTTTTGAAATTGTTCGGAAATAGAATCATTCGGAATTCGTTTGCATTCTTGAATGAATAATATGAATCCACTTCTGAATTAAATGCAAGCAAACAAATTAATAATAATAATAATAATAATAATAATAATAATAATAATAATAAACATTAAAATACTTACTTAAAACTCCAACAGTTCCTATTCACAACGAGAATCCCTACTGAAAGATTACTGGCAAAAGTCATGTTCAGCGTCAGAAATTTCCCACTAAAAACACTCATTAAATTTTTCTTCTCAAGCGATGTCATGGCAATGCAGAAAGTTATGTCTGTGCGGCTGTTTTCTGTTTCCACTTCCTCTGTCACTGTGAAATTCTTGATTATAGTAGTGTGTTTTAAAGTATTGGCGGGTAATATCTCAATACAGGCAAAGTCCATCTTTTCTCCGTTAACGTTGCACGGCTCATTAAGAAGAACAAGTTCTGTGCCTGCAGTTTCAGCGCACGACAGAGTTGGAAGTTCCGTGGTTGCCAAAATTGGCTGGTGAAACATCATGACAAATAAAAGTGCTGTTACTGGTATTTGAAGCGTCATCATAACTATTCTGAAATTCCACAAGGCAGTCGATATTTGCCTTCTTATCTATGCTCACAGAGTCAGAAGTTGTGTTATCTGCAAACAAACAAAACATTATATGAATACAGATTCATCCTCTATTATTGCCATTATTTCTACGTCACAATAATGTGATTATTATATTTCACACAAAATAGTTAATATATTTCATATTATCAACTTAAAAAAGAGGTCTATACGTGGTTGTTTTAGGCGTACGTGCTCTTCTCGAGTTTAACCTAATCCCAAAATCGCTCGTAGGAGTCCCTTTCTTCGTCGATCGATTTTTCCGCATTTCGAGTTTTCAGCTCAGCCTCCGACTAACCGTACCCTCCTCCTTTGACCATTGCTCACCTTTTTCCAGGTCGCTTCCGTGTGGGAGAGGATAAGTTCCTGGTTGCCGCGTGGATGACTTATTTGGAATAGCGTTACGCGCTCCGTGTCTCTGATGTGTTGTACTTTATTGATTAGTGTTATCTGGCTCGTTAACTGCTGGGAAAATTAGTGCCGTAAGTATGGTTCATGTTTTATTGCATGCTATTGCGATCTTTCCCCTATGCATAACGAGATCCGACGCCATTCCCTTTCCATCGAAACGCGGGGTTTTCCCCAACCAGGTACCTCCCACCAGCGGGGCACTGCCCCAGACAGAACAAGCCCTAAATTCTGAACTGCTCTCCCGGCATGTGTGCAAGTGTAGTGAAATTAAGTGTGTGTGTGTGTGCGTGTGAGGGGTGAGGCAGGAAAGAAGAGAAAGAAAAGAGCGCGCGCGGCCCGTGGTCCGTTTTTTAGGGTACTGCTCCAGCATTCACATGATGTTGATAGGAGAAACCACGGAAAACTATAGTCAGAGCAGATACGAAGACTGTGATCAGAGCAGACGGCCGCTAGAAGTCTTCTTCAGACAGGTGCTTAATTGGATCTAGCTCTGCAACTAGTGTCGAAAATCCTGCCACCGTCGGGACTCGAGCTCTAAGCCCTCCCGGTTAGAGACCCTGCGGTGACATCAGTTAATGCCCTGATCCACCTAAGCATGTTACACGGTCTCAGAATACAGAGACCACGAGCACGAATCGGGAAGGAAAGTAGAAGCCAACAAATATCGGAATGACAGCTGCGTCATGACACTGTTCCGTAGACACCTGTTTTTGGTCTGAAGGGTCACACGTAACTGACATAACACTGTGTCGTATTCTGAGTACTTGCGAGCGCTTTTCTCGCTCGCGATGTGTCAATTTTAAGATTTTTCGAACGTTTACGTATCTTATGATTTTTATCCATGCAGGCAAGCAAGAATGTTGGTAGTCCCAAGCGCGAATGAGAAAAATGGGACCCATAATTCTGTCAAGCATTTAGAGGCTATTCATTCCTCTAAAATTCATTCAGGCCTCTAAAATGTGACCATTCATTATCGAGATATCTGCGTTTTACTCCTACAGTTCGTGGGTCAGCGGCCACAATTGTGCAGGCAAATTGCACCCAAACAAAACTGCTTCTGGGTTTCTTTAGAAAACAGGTTCATGGGGAAAGTACACAATAAATATGTATTTTCTGTTAACGGTTTCTTAAGCCTTTGAATTCCTGTCCCCTCTGGACTTATTTGAATTATGATTGAAGCAGCAAGTGTTGGTTGCCAATATTTGATATCTATTAGCTTTTTCTCACGTGCTCTACATACACATCGGAGATTTGCGTAGTAAAATAAACGCATGAAATAAAATTAAACTAGACGCGTACGTCACGTATTATAATCCGCTTTAAAAAACCTGGTAGTTCAAGGTCACGTGCTGGATGGCGAGGGAGACACTGTCATCTAATCGAGAGCTTCATTAGTCTTATATTTTAATATTGGAGCTGTCGATTGAATGACAAAGTTCCCTCTACTTCCAGTGGGTGTCGTTAAAGTGTCTTTCTGTTTAAAACGGACACTCGCAAAAGTGGACATTGAATAGGGCTCTTCTATCCACGAATAGGGAGAAAGCCAGAAGGACTGACGGCATCTCTACAAAATGTATTTCGGAATGAAGAATTTTGAATCTGTTTGATAGTATTGTAGATTCCACATCGTATTCAGAATCGTGAGATACAGCCCTCACACAACAGGCTTTTAAAAAAGGTAATACGGTTTGTCCGGAAATTGTTTCTGCCTTTAATCTGTTCCCAAACTTACCTGTTTACCAAGCGCTAAGAAAAATTGTTTTGTACAATTCTCAATGATATTCCGAGTGAATAACGTACAATTTCACAAAAGTGAACACAGAAGTGAATTGGTCGTAGAAAGTGAAACTGATGCTAGAACGCTCTGTGGAGATGGTTGGGGATAGGAAAACACGCGAGATAGAATGATTAATTTCTGATAGACTTTCGGATATAAAACGAAAGATGATGTAGCAGCAACGGTCGAAAAACGCTTCATAGTGGCTCAGATTTACACTAGTCCGGTTTTGGATCGTGAAAGTTGTTCACACACTTGAGAAAGGACGTAGGAGGGGGGTTGGATGTGGTTTAGCGTGGGGAGTGAATGCAACGAAGACTGAAAATCATAAACTGCAATGGCATCTGTTTGCTTTGCGGCGAGATAGAAGATTAGATTTACATTTTCTTAAATTGCTGTGCCACCGAAACATGAGGCATTTGATTTCGCAAAATAGTTCAATACTGGGAAGGATATCATACAAACATATCCTTAATAGTTCATGTACAGAAAATACTATCTTACTTTACTTCGTAGGTTTTTCTCGTAATTTTGTGTAAAATAAAGGCGATTTTAATGAATTATTTTTTCAAACAACCCCAATTTTTTTCTTTACACTTTGTCCTCTGCGGGAGCAAAAGAAAACTTAAAAATAACATATGTCCCATTTTGGGCCAACTCTTTTTTCGTAAATGAAAATTGATTATTTTTTCAAAATTTCTATCATAAAAGTGCAATGTTCGTGATGGAGATTGTTTTCTTAATGAAATCTATTTAAAAACAATAGATATTTAAATATATTATTTACAATTCTGAGAAAATATGAGTAGTTAACACGTAATTTTGAGTATAATAAGAAACAATTTTAATGATTTCAAATCTACGTAATACATTGACTACTGAAGCTAGATATTTACTTCTCAGTGAAGTCTCTTTCTCAATATTACATCTTCAAATAATTTGATCTTTTCATGAGTCAACTAATCAGTAAAATTTACATGTAAATAAAAGAATTTATAACGACAAATGAAAGTTTCATCTCATCTGAACCAATCAGAATTAAACGTACTGAAGGTTGCTCGATTATTTTCTAGCTATTTCTTTGACTCACCTATCGATTTTTGATTGTCGTAAATGCAAGTAGATGTTGCACTAACGAGCTTTAAATTAGGTCTGACAAAAATATTTTAAACGCCACTTGCAGATTTTGTGATGGAGATATGTAAATAGAGATATGGGCGTGCAACTTGTGCTGTTGGAAGTTTCGGAAGCAAGAATATTAGCTTCCGAAACATTTTCATTAAAATTAGTATATAGCTTTCTCAGCTTGATATGACCATCCAGAAAAAAATGGTTTTGATTAAATGCCAGTCTTTTCTCTAAGATTATCCAATTCCACGTCTTTAGCTCATATTTTCTTTCCTCGGGATTTTCTGCCTACTCTAGCTGTCGGACACTTTATAGTTCAAAACTTGAGATACTCTCAACCACCACGTGTTCTCGTTTATGATTATATCTTTGAAGCTCGCATTTCCTTTATCTCTTATTAAATAAAGATTCCTTATTAATTAAGGAACCCTTATTAAATAAGGATTCTCTTGCACCAAGTTTATGAGTGGAATGTAATGTTTTTTATTTTCTTTATCAAATTCCTCTATCGTCACAAGAAAAATAGCCATAATTCTTACTTTGAATTCACAACTCGCTCATGTAACCAGAACCTTTCGCATATTAGAACAGAACTATTGACAACTACGTGAACTAAATCTGAAATCGACATTCAATTTGCTCTTGCGGATTTTGTTGTGTATTTTTTATGCTGATCTCTGATTGGGCTTCGGTAGAATTCCAATATAAACGTGTACGTAAAAACTTGGAGCTAGTGAACTCTTAAGTTTACAAAATTACGTCACTGGTTACGACAAAAGCGCTATGAATGGACTCGCTTAATATCTAATTTCTAGATTTTGTGGCAACGATACGATTAAGTTTGCATTGTGGATGTGACCTAAACAGCAACGCTGCGTTGTCTTGGCCCCGTGAATTGATTTCGCTGTAAGCTGCGGTTTGTGTCGCTGTAGAACGTAAATTTTAATTGTTGAACTTTTAATAATGCATTTGCTTTCAAAGAATTAAGTTCTTAAATATATGTTAATTGTGTTAATTGCGTTTCAGATGAAGAAAACAACATATTTTTAATTAATAACTCATATTGACCCCTTTTTTTAGTATGCTTATTTACAACCCAATGAAATTTTCACAATTTTGTTTAATTACATTCTTCACACTAACGCAGTGTTAAAGTGAAGAATAGTGTTAGTGTGACATAAATTTGACAATTATAACTGTTTTTCATACAGGTGAATCATGCCCCAACAATAAGACAAAAGTTACAAAAATTATCTCCTGAGTCATTATAGTCGAGTATTCATTGCATTCTAATCTGACAATCTATAAAGGCTAGCAGTTTATATTTCGTATATTTCAAATAGGTTTTAAATAAATTCTTCAAAATTAATGTGCACATGTATAACAACATGTAAAATGTAAGAAACGAATAAAGAAATATAAAATAATACACAAATTCTAACTTACAAAGCATCCAATTGTCTAGAATTACAATCACGAAGTGCAGTATATTTTGAGCGGGTGATTATTTTTGTTGCCAAATTACACAAAAAATATACATATTTCCCAAAAATTCAACATTAATTTATTTGAAGATCTGTTTATTATGAACACGTTTCATTAAGAAAAAATGTACCTTCACAACTCTAGTTGTAGGAAGACGCCGACATTTCGCAAAAATTGCTCATGTTTTGAAAAATTTAATATGACCGTGCACTTGAACATCTGTTTTTTA